CTCCTCCTCCTCCTCCTCCTCCTCCTCCTCCTCCTCCTCCTCCTCCTTCCTCCTCTTCCTTCTCCTTCCTTCTCCTTCCTCTTCCTCTCCCTCTCCTTCCTCTTCTTCCTCTTCTTCTTCTTCCCCCAGGGAAGCACGTGGCAGGCCACCTGTCCGCTATCAACATGGCGCTGAGCGCAGTCAACCTAGCCGAGTGTGCTGGAGATGCCATCTCAGTGGCCACGCTGGCTGAAGTCTACGTGGCTGCTGCCCTGCGGGTGAAGACCAGCCTCCACCACTGTTGCCACTTCCTAGCGGTCAGTGAATCTGGGTGCTCCATCACTGGAGGTTTTGAAGAAGAGATTGGGCAGCCGTTTTATAGGGCAGAGGTGTCCAACCTTGGGAGAGGCGTGCACTTCCAAGCCCAAAACTCCCCAGCCAGCCAACATTCACTAGTGTGAAAACCGGTTGTAAGCCACCTTTTCCAGCACCGTTGTAACTTCCCAAAAGGAATGGTCGTAAGTTATAAGTTGAGGATTGGCTGTTGGGTGTGAGCCCCTGAAATCCCACCCCCATTCCTCCCATCTCTTACACTCCCGAGCCAACCCTTCCATGCTGTAAGAGAGGCTTGCAAATAGCCACACACACCCACCCCCAGACTGACCGGGAGGTTGACCCACCAGGCTGACGCTGCCTTTCTTGCCCGCTACAGCGTTTCTTCCTCAGCAGTGCCCGGCAAGTGCTGCTCTCCCACCATGGGACGGTCCCTCCTGCGCTCCAGTGGCTCTGCCACCCCGTGGGACACCGGTTCTTCGTGGACGGTGACTGGGCGGTGAAAAGCTCTCCACGGGAAAGCATCTACAGCTCCACCAGCCACCCAGGTAGAGCAGCGTACAAGGAGCGGGGAGATTGGATCTGGCCCTGCAGGTTTGATAGGAAGCCAAAAGAGGCAGGCTAGGGACGCGGCGGCTTGGTGGCTAAGACGCTGAGCTTGTTGATCAGAAAGGTCGGCAGTTTGGCGGTTCGAATCCCCAGCGCCACGTAACGGAGTGAACTCCTGTCACTTATCCCAGCTTCTGCCAACCTAGCAGTTCAAAGACGTGTAAAAAATGCAAGTAGAAAAATAGGGACCACTTTGGTGGGAAGGGAACAGCGTTCCGTGCGCCTTCAAAGGTGTTTAGTCCTGCTGGCCACATGACCACGGAGATTCGTCTTCGGACAGCGCTGGCTCTTCTTCGGCTTTGTAACGGAGGTGAGCAGCGCCCCCTAGAGCTGGAAATGACTAGCATGCATGTGCGAGCGGAAGCTTTACCTTTAAAAGAGGCAGGCATCTGCCCACCTGTGCATTTCAAATAGGCTGCCTAGTGTTTTTAATGGTTTTGGGCTTTTGTAAAAGGGAAGTTTTAATTTTTACGAGTATGTGGAGTGCCTGCACTGGGCAATTCTTGGATGAAGAATAGTCTGGAAATAAGATAGCTGATAACCGCAAACCTTTACACAGCTCAATGGGAGAGTCGTTCGCTAAAAATGCGACTGTCTGTCCTTTCGGGTGCCTCTCACTTCAATTGCTGGATATGGGGACCCTCTGAAGTATTTGACCTGCTTGGCAAGATGGTTAAATGTGGGAAGGGGCTTAGCATATCCTGCGAATTCCATAATGCAGATCCTTCACCCAGCCTAAGGAGAGTTACTTTTTTCTTGGCTTGTTTGGTGTGGAGCTAACCCTCAACTAAGACCCCCTTGTTGGGCTAGCTCATTGATTGATTGGTTGATTAATCAACGAGCTAGCCCTGGTTGATTAATTAAAGATCAACACATGAGTGTTACCTCTGACCACATAGATCTTAGTCCTCAATCTCTGTCCTTTCTGGTCCACCTATCGCCACTGAAATTCCTGGAGAGGCATGAATTGTTGGCACAACTTGGGTTGTTGCGTTGTGCTAAAGGGGCTCCTGAGTTGCTAATTGTATCGGGAGATACCTGAGCTGTCTGACAGGTCTGTTTCTCTCGCCAGCAAACCCCCTGGCTCAGGTGACACAACTCTTCCGAGAACATCTGCTGGAGAAAGCTCTTTCTTGTGTCTCCAGGCTGGACAACCCAGCCCCTGCCAGCCACAGCGAGGGGTAAGGACCCTACTTCTCCCAATCCTTGGACTCCAGTTGAAGAATCCTTCCCAAGAGAAGGTTGGCCTTCCTGTCCTTCAATGGGGCTCTCTTAGACATTTTCTTCAAACCAGCAATGATGGAGAGAGATTTCAAGATTGAGCTGGTATCTATAATGGTATATATGCCTTTAGTTCAGCTCAATGGGCTAGAAGAGCAAGGACCACTTCACCCATCCTTCCAGCTCTTTCCATATCTCACCCAACCTTCTGGTATTTGTGCAGAAGGACTTGCTGACCTAAAGGAAAGAGACTCACGGCAAGGAACCCATATTCCCTTTTCCACTGAGGAAAGAGTAATTTCCAGAGTGGTTGACCTGGGAAGAGGCGTTCAAAGGAATATTATTGGCAGAAGAAGCCATTTTCCTCCTGGTCCTTAGACTTCTCAGCGTTTCTGAGCTGGTAGCTGAACTCACCCGACTTTTGTCTTGTCTCACTAAAGGGAATTTTCAGATGCTCTGGAGTACCTGCATTTCCTCAACAGCTGTGCGGATACTGTCCCCAACCCGACGCCCTCCATCAGTACCAACATGGACCTGGCCACAGGTGAGCCTTCCCACACCTGGGACTTCTCTGACCAGAAGTGGGGTTTGGAAAACAATCCAGAGGTGGACTTTGGAGAACTGAAGGAAATGGAATTGGCAAGAGGAAGAACTGCCAAGGTAGACTTTGGCATCGTGAGCGTGAAGGAGTTTGCAGCCAGGGATGACTGAGTGATGGTGGACAGCTCAAATGGTCGAAACTAAGGAGCAGAGTTGGCTGGTCAAGTGAGACCTCCATGTCCAAATGTGGCATACCTTGGGAATCTGTGGCTGAGAAGAACAGGGGTTCCTCTGCCAGGAGGCCCCTACAGATACAGGAAACAGCCCCCAAGGAGACTTACGCCATAGTGGATTCACCCAACAGTTTGAACATAACCACAATGTACAGAGAAATATTTGCTGGGTTTATAGTTGCTAAATCTGGTGCGGCACATGGCCTAATGGTGAAGATGCTCTCCTCCCACTTGGAAAGTTGAGCATTCAATCCTAGATGTTTCCCTATCAGGGCACAAAGAGAATATATCTACTGCAAACTTGGCAAAGGTGTCAGGAAGGGCATCCGGTCAGTAAACTCTCACTTCCATTCAGTCGCCCCGACTCCACCCCAAATAAAAAGGGATTACAGGGTCGTAAAAAGAAAAAAAAATGTTATAAAACTGGACCACAGGATGTTGGTTTAGACAAGGACTTTGAACCCAGCCCCAAGTTAGCAGTGTTTGCCAGGGTTTCAGTCAGTTTCCCCCACTCAACTTGGAAATGCCATGGGTGGAGCTCTGGATCTTTTCTTTGCAGACCAAGGGTACCAGGTCCATTTGGACTGACCCAACAAAAGGCCTTTCCAGGTCTTTTTGGATGAATGGGAAGGAGGAGGATCTTAGGAAGTCAATGGCTTAGCAACCCCAAGACAAGGAGAGGGTTGGGCTGCTCTTGAGCTGAGGTCAAAGGCAGATGGAGAACCTCGTTGGGGGCAAGGAATTGTCTCTCTTGTCTTGGTCTTTTCAGAACCCTGATGCCCGTTCCCCTCTCTCATCTGTAGGTACTGACCCTGTTTCCCACTGGTGGGCATCTGTGGTTGCCATGGCAATCCATGGACTGCAAGCGGATGAGGAGGCCATGGAACGCCTCTACCCTCTGGTGGAATTCATGCCCCGAGTTCTCCAGGGGTCTGAGTAAGTGCACACTGTTAAAACACCCCCAGGGGGAAGTGGGCAAGGAACAGAGAACTTGGGACTGCAGTACTCATGTACTAATAGAAGAAAGCCAAACATTTCTTCTTGCTTTCCAGTCGGATCTACATGACTGGGCTTAATTTCTCAGACTTTGCAGAATTATTCTGTGTGGGGTGACAAAAAGGAGAGCAGAGCATTTGACCTTCGTTCTTCTGGCTTCTCTAAAGTAGCACATTTTAGATTTCTCAGCCATCTTAAGAACCTGGATGTGAGAAGCGCAACTCGCAGCTTGGGGGGATTTCCAGACCATTGTATTGTGGCTCCCGAGACAGATGTTTTCACACCTGGATGGGTTTCAAATTCATGTCTTCTTCTGCCCTGCTGCAGGAACCCTCTTCCACGTGCGGCTCTGCACACCTTCAAGGCAGCCCGGGTGCTGGGCAAAGAGGACAGCAGCCTGGGACAGTGCGACAAAGCTGGCGAATATTTGCGAGACAGCTTGGGTGGGAACGCGACTCCCAGTGCTATCGACAGAGTACGTTGCAAGAAGTTCCGGCGTCAGTGGAACCGGTGGGCTCTCAAGTTCCAGAGGGTCTCTTGAGTTGCAGAACTGGAGGGAGGAACTCTGAATGTGGCTGTTGGACTAAACCAGGGATGGGCTTCAACAGGGTGACTTGTGGGCCGATCCATAACCTTTCTCTTGGTCCAGCGTCACTGTGAGTGAAGTACCAGAAAGCGGTGAATGGTTCTCATCCATCTGTTCACCAACCTCTGGCTCATCTTTGGCAAGAGCTCCATTGTCCCGGTGAATGACGGTTAGGTTTCTCAGCTGCAAATCTCAACTCTCGTAGACACAGGACCTCTTACTTAGGAACGGACCTACCTGCTATCAACATTCAGACACAACTTAGGGCTGAGTCCTCCTCTCATTACTCCAGACCAGAAAGAAAGCATTTGTCTCATTAAAGATTTGTTGGCGGCAATATTCAGCCCGTAGTGCCTCAACGGGGAGCCGTGCTCAGGGGCTTAAATTCTGTTCCTTGCCTCCCACTGGGCGATCCTCTTGGTGGAAGTGGGAGATCTTGGTTGATAGACGAGAACGGCAGGTTCCTGCCTCTCCGATATCTCCCTTGCTTTCTGAGGCTGGAGCTTGGAATGAGGGGAGCCCGTGGCTGTAGGAAGTGGGGGATAAAAGACAGAGAGGGACATACAGGGTGGAGAGCCCCACCTCAGTCAGGAGATGGCGATGTGGAAAACACTATGGCTGTGTCGGTGGTGCATTGTAGTTGCATTGCATGTGCAGGTGAAGATGTGCAATGCCCCTTCAGTGCAGCCCTGGGGCAGCAACCATGCAGCGGAAGGGCCTGCTAAAAGATGACAGAGGCAGGACCTCTCTAGTTCTGAAGTTGGGTGCACAGAGAGAGACCCCCTTTCCCCGCAGCCCAGGTGACTTGGGGGGAAGCCACGTCTTTGTGCTCTTCCACAACTTTCCTTTGTGTGTGTGTGTGTGTGTGTGTGTGTGTGTCTCCCTGCAGGCAGTGCAGTTCCTTTTGTGTGACCTGCTCCTGATCACTCGCACCAGGTTCTGGCAACAACAGATGCAGGGGGCTCCCCCACACAGAGCCCGCTACCAGGCGTCTGCCCTCGAGCTACGGGGCTTTCAGCAGGATCTCAGTACTCTCCGGCGCTTGGCGCAAGCGGACCAGCCTGCAATGCACAGGGTGAATGGCGGCACCCCGGGTGTCCTTCCCTTAAAGTAGGGGAGGCCAACTTGGCCGCTGAACCCCTGAAAAGTCCTCCAGGAGGATGGGGAAGGTGGTAGAAGCTTTATGGAGCTCCTCCTGTGATAAAATATGGGTCAGATTTCTGGGTTGGCAAGAGGGGGGAGGGCAAAGCCACATGGAAAGGCCCACCTGAAGGACCTTTCCTTGAGGGTTGCTCCCTTGTTGGCTGCCTTCGACCCCAAATTATGGACCAGGTTCAACACTTGGCTTGAGTTGGCTTCTGAGGTTAGGATTGTCCCAATGGTGGAGGGAAAAGATTTCTGGGAAAGGTGGAAATGCTGTCCCACGAGAGTTAACTTTTCCGCCTCTTCCTCCAGGTCTTCCTCCATGAGGCAACTGCCCGACTGATGACCCGAGCCAGCCCCACACGGACCCACCAGTTGCTTGACCGAAGTCTCCGCAGGAGGGGACCATCTACTACCAAAGGAGGTGAGCACCTGGAAACTTCAGGAGGTCTTCTGATGGGGGTTGGGTGGGGTTTTGAAAATGCAGCTGATCTTCAAGCCATTGAACCAATCCTTGTGTGTGCCAGAGACGCACCGAGGGAGTCTAAACTCATGTCCTGGGGTGGCCACATGCTTCCCGTGATGTCCTCTTTCTTCCCTCCCAGCTGGTGAACAAGAGAGCCGCCCCACTGCCCGGGAACAAGCAGAAGCCTTGCAACTGGCCTGTTCCTACCTCCCCCCTGTGTTGCTTTTGGGGCCAGGCCAAAGGGGGGGCATGCTGGCCGAGGCTGCCCGCTCCCTGGAGAAGCTGGGCGACAAATGGACTTTCCATGAATGCCAGCAGATGATTGTCCGGCTCAGCAGTGGCTCCACCGTCACTTCCAGCTAGAGATTTGGAAGATTCCTAGGAAGGAGGGTGGAGGCCTGGGGTGGCCCCACCAGTTTGGTTTGTGGCAGTGCCGGTGAAAGTGCCAAGGAGGCCTGGCAGAGCGTGGCAGGGGCGACTCTCTTTCACTCTCTCTGCCTGAGGCAGCTCTGGTTCCTCAAAAGGATGCTCAGCTCTTTTCTTCTTCTGCGTCTAAAGAGACCTAGACATATGCAAGGGGGGACAACCCGGTGTGGCAGAACTGGGTGGATCTGGCTGACTTCCCGCTCCTCCCGGGAGAAGGGTGTGCACCCAACTCTTGCGAGTCTCTTGGGTTTTAGACTCCCCACGACCAGGGTGCGTTTGGCAGGCAGGGTAATCTTTTGGAGACCAACCAGCCCTCAGTTTCTCACATCCCCTGTCCAGCAGATGATGGTTTTGCCCTTACCTCTTTCACGGCCAGCTCTGTTCTTCCCCAGCTACCCCAGCCGCGGCTTGACTTCCTCTGCCATGTCCATCCATCTCTTCTGAGAGCCCAGCCTGGTGGGGGCAGCGGGATTTCCATCTGATCTGTTGTGAATTGCTTGGAGTTTGCTCATTCCTCCCCATCCCTTGAGGGCATGGGAGTTAATTCACGGTAACTTCTGGTGGTCTCGTGTGGTGACCTTGGATGAGCTTCAGTCATGGTGGACCTACAACCCTTGTGGTTGAGTAATGTTCTCATCTCTTCACATATTAATTGTGGCTGTTGGAAAGCAGTTGGCTGAAAAGAGGACAATATTTCCCCTCCCCTTAAGGTGGACTCAGGGGGAGAAGAAGTCCACTTTTTGTGTTTAAAAAAAAAGTGGCAAAGGACACGCCATGAAAAAGCTGAATAGGATTTTTAGAAAACGTTTCTAGAAGGAAAACAGAAGGCAGACATGGTGAGAGATCCCTCTTGTTCCACCCTTTGGAAAGCTACCTGTCAAAAGCTACAGCCCCTTTTCTTACTCTAACCTAACCTCCTTCCCCCTTCCATCCCGTACTGTAGTTTGGGGAACCCAACATAGTGGTTGACGGGAACCCTCACCCCAGAAGGTGAGGGTCAGAGTTGGTGGAGGAGCTGGAGGGCTTCTACTGCTGCCCATCGCTTGTGGGGGATGGAGCACTCGCATCGGTGTCTCCCCTTGCCAACATGCACTCCTGCTCAGCCACGATTCTTTCTTTCAAAAGTTATTTTCATAGTATCAGGGGAGGGGTTTTTGTACAGATGATAAAATAAAACAGCTACTTATTTATATCTCCTCGTCTGGACATTAATTGGAGCAGGAGAAGACAGACAAAGGATGGTGGGAATCACCTTGGTTGGACTCTAGGCTGATGAATTCTCACCAGCTCTACAAAAGTTGTCCTCCCCTGGATGTGTTGATCGGCAAGGTCTTTAAGGGTTGTGAAGACCATGGGGGGGCCACCTCTGGTTTGGCTCATCAGACTTGTAGCCTCCCAGATGTCCAGTCCTGCTTGAGTTGGGCAATTTTTTTTTTTGTCTACTCTAAAATGTACCTACAGAGAAATCCTCTGTGCTCTGGATTACAGCTATACACATATGGGGCAGTGAAGGTATGGGAGAGAGCGACCTGCTTTCTTCCTACCCTAGTTGAAAGCTTTCTGGGGGCATTTTCCACAGAACCATGACATTTGGGTTTGATTCAGTCCAGGAGGACTCAAGTCTACGGTGATCCCGAATGATGAAGCAACTCTCATATCTGAATTGGGCCAGTGGGGCAGATTCTTTTGGACATTTCAAAGAATTAGTTTCAACATCAAAAGGGGCTTGATGAAAAGATGGATCAGATAGCACACAGTGTGGCAGGTTTCCAGAGCTCATGGTTTTAATGTGAAGAAGGCAATCTCATTTAATCATATGGTCTGAGTGTGGCATATTCTGTGAAGATAGCAATTGTATTTTGTTAGCGTGAAAACATCTTGAGAGAGCTAAGAGTTGTTATTGGCCAGCGGATATGTTGAACTGACCTCAAACTGGAAAAACACCTCACTCTATTTCAACAGTAAGGTTGGCCTCACAAGAGTCCATCAAGATGGTGAAGTAGACTTTTCTGTTGAGCAATGAATGCCTTCAGACCGACTACATGGGTCGTACATGTGGTTGCATCCTTCAAGCCACAAGATGCTGGTGGAAATGGGTTGCAAATCCTGCCACCTTCTGTGGTGCTTTCTAAAATAAGTCTACATTTATCCACACAGAGGACAAACGCACTGCACTGCAGAAACTGTGTCCACAAATGTTGACAGGGTTTGCACAACACGTTCTTTGGCAAGGAGAGAAGGGGTGGAACACTTTGTGGCTCAGGTTGATGTGAAAACTCAATCATTATCTTAGCATCTTATATGGTCCAGGCCATCCCAAGCCCAACTCTATTGGAAATGTCCACCAGTATTGTCCTCAATTGACGTTGAGCGGGCTTCGACCCTACTTCTACCGGCAAAGAATTCTTGAGGAATCTTGCCGTGTGGAGCTTCCGGAAAGGTACGGTGATCTATTTCCTCTGCTTGGATCTGATCTCCCCACCCCACCCCAAGGAGATGGCTGAAAAATAGGTGATTAGGGAACTCGCCGTATGTCCAAAACAATTGCTGAATCTTTATTGGTGTTCTGAATGCAATGACCTGATTTTTTCTTTTTTCTTTTTTTTTAACTCTTAAGGAAAATAAACTTCTTTTAGAAACAGCTTGTTACACACAATCTTCAGTGTGAAGCAATATACTAAATAAGAACACTAGTTTTAACATTTACATCTTTCATATATATTATATATATGTATATGTATACATATATATACACTATAGAATGAGGCAATATATATAATACACACATGTTTGCCATTTTACAGTCATTATGTACAAGATTCCATTCAAAGAGAGCCGGAATTGTGGGGATGAGGACGGGGGTGGGTGGGGCAGGGGGGGGGTGTCTCTTCCACCTGCCGCCTGAAGGTGTGCTTCTGAAACGGGCATTCCTCTGCCAGCAAACCCGGAGGGGCATGCCGCGAGGACGGCGTAGCGGAGACAGTGAGCGACGCGCACAGAATACCGTGTACAGAAAGGTTTACAAGCAGAGGGCAGTGCGAATTGTTGCTCTTTCACAGCGACAACCAAGAAAACCAAGCGGATGAAGAAGGGCAGGGAGATATTGGCCCCATCAGACTTAATGCTGCAGAGGTGGGGTGGCAGTGGGGGGAGGGGGCTCCCCCTCCTACTGGGTTGTACAGCACTGTCGTGAGAGCTGGGGAAGATATATACAGGTTATGCAACTCAGGTGTCCTTTGCTTGCTACCTTCCCAGGTTAATCATCAGAGCGAGTCTGATGTAGAGCTGCTCCTTCAAAGTCTTCTAGAAGCCACCAGGAGTGAGTCCCTTCCCACCCTGACCCAACGTACAGTTTGGCCTTGCCCAAGATTGATTTATCCATCCAATGTCTACACTGCCCACCTCACCTGAAGGACTAGGGGTGCCTTAAAAAGGATAAAAGGTTGGCTTAATAGCCAACCAGTAAAAACCTTTAAAGTTGCTCATTTCAGGAACTCTTCAAGACAAGGTTCCCTACCTTTGAGGGGATCTTGATGGTCTTTGGATGGTAATGGTTGGGTGGTTCTGGATGCTGCCCCCAAGGCTCATAGTAACCAAGGGCACTGTTGGATTGAGGTAATCCCTGTGAAGTCCAGAAGTGCATCAATTAGAGTTGTTTGCTGTCCTGTGTAAGTTCTCCTCCTCCTGTTGGCCTTCAACATCAGCCCCAAAGACAGGCTCCGCCCTACTTAGCAAGGTGGGACAATAATGTCTACAGAAGCTATGCTTCTGTTTTGCTTGGGGTTCTGGCTGGGTTTGCATAATGCCCACAGCTAAATAAGTTGCTTCAAACTGCACAAGTGCCAACAATGGACATGGGTGCATGATGGCTTCTGGTGTTGTTGGAACCCCAAAGAGAGAGCCCTCATTACCGAAACTGGAGTTTCAATACTGGTTTCCATTCCTCCAAACAGCATTCCCTTTAGGTTCACACTGCACAGTAAGCTACATAATGTGGCTTGACGTGTGCTCCGTGACAGGAGTCAAGAAGGAAACTGATGAGTGTGGGTCAAGAGTGCTTCATCTTTTGTGCCATCACAACTTCAACCAAACCCAGGAAGAGATGTTTAGGGTGGTTTGCCCAGGCTACTTAGGGATTCTGGGAGCTGTAGTCATATCAAATTAGGAGAGATCCATTGTAGGAAAGCTTTGATGGGATCCAACAACTCACGAAGGCCGTGAGGGGAGCAGATGGCTGAGGACAAGAACATTCATGGCCTGCTAAGGTTCCTGATAACCATGGGCATGTCAGAAGTCAGGAAGCCAGGATTAAACAAACATCACAATTGTTATATAAGCCCATTGTACCCATTGGGCAGGTGTTTTTTTTTTTTTGCCTGAAACCGAAAGTAATTAAATGTTTGTTCCCAACAAGAAATATCATAAATTGTGGTCATGTGACCATGGGAAACTGTAAACATATAAATGCAGGCCAACTACCAAGTGGCCCAAATATAACCAGGTAACTGGGAAAGGGATGGACATCAGAACTTCAAAATCAAGTCATAAGCAGCTCTGAGGACATTCATTGCAACTCTGAAGGGTCACTACGCAACTGGTTGTAATCTGTAATGCACAAAAACAGGTGAGCTCCCTTCAGCGGCCATCAAGATGCATGGAGCAGCCCAACTCCTTAGTACATCCTGCTAATCTCAAAGAACCCAGTTGCTTTTCCTCAACACGTCGCGTGCCATCCGGCCAAGTGGGAGCGTAATAACCTCCGATTCCGTCCTCCATTTTGACTTGAGGATGGGCAGTGAAATAACCAGAGATGATTACTCTCGGCCAAGTTTCAATGGGGAGCTTTCTGCTGTTTGTCTCAACACAAGGACAGTGTTTCTCAACCTCAGGAACTTCAGGACGTGAGGAGTTCAATTCCCAGAATTCCCCTGCATTTCTCAACGTAGGGAATTTCGATATATGGCGACTTCGACTTTCAGAATTCAGCGTTTTTCTCAAGCTTGGGGACTTCCAGGCAGGTGGAGTTTAACTTCCAGAATCCTGGGAGCTGAAGCCCATCCGTCTTGAAGTTCCCAAGCTTCAGGGTGCTGGTCTAGGGGGTCCCTGCCTTTCCTGGTTTGAGTGTGGGGCGCAGGGTGGGGTGTGAATCAGACATGGAGGGGCGAGAGAAAGAAGGCAAATGACATGTCAGGCTAGGAGTCGGAGGGAACAAGGACAAAAGCAAAACAAAAATGCGAAAACGAACTCAAGTGATGCAACCTTGTTTGCTGCCCCCCCAAAAGGTTCGGGGTGCTTCTTTGTACACGTGGATCACATCTATATACAGAAAACACACATACACACGCACGCACACGCACACGCACACACACCATGAGGTTCGCTGAAGGCCAAAAGTTGATCAGATCAGAAAACAGAGAAGAAGGTGGACCTGGAGACCCTCCTGCAGCCTTTGGAGCCAAGGGAAAGAGGAGGGAGCCGCGGACGTCCGAACGCTTCTCTCCTGGCGTCCGAGACCCGAGTCCGTTCTCTTGGCCGGAGACAAAGAGACCCGAGCAAATGTTCTTGGGACGTGCCGACCACCCCTTGCCTGCCGGTCACCTCCGGCCATCCGATGTCCCTTCCAAAGTGCTCAAGACTCTCTTCCAGACGAGCTGGGAGTGGACAGGTGGGGTCAGTGGCCAAGCCGAGGGAGATGCCAGCTGGGTCAGTCTTGGGTGCAGCTCCTGGGTTAGGAAGGGGAGGGAGGAGGAGGAGGAAGAGGAGGTTTGTCTTCGCTCCTGAATCGGTTCAGGAAACCCCTCCCAAGAGGAATGGAGTAACCGGGGGTGGGGGGGGGGGGAATGGGGGTTTCTGTGGTGGTTCCTGCACCAATCTGGAATGGAAGAAGTCCGGAGGGGAAGAAGGGGGGCACTGCACCGGCCCGGCCTGCTTCCTGACGGGTGGGCAAGGAAGGTTCCCAGGAGCTGGACATCGGGGGCGTTTGGGGGTCTTGTGCCCGTTGGGGTCAGCTTGCAAGGAAGTTGCCACGGCCTGAGCGAAGAGGGAGGCGAGGCTGGCCAGGTCCATTCACAGTAGAAGTACTATTGCAAAGGGGAGGGACGGGGGGGGGGGGGGGACAGGGCCCGGGAGTGGGGGGCCACTGGGCTCCTCCTTGGACCCTTCCGTCCAGAGTTCCTCTTGGTTGCAGCTACTCCAAAGGGGTGTGCCGAAGCAGAGCCCCCTCCTCGCTGGGTCGGGACTCCAGCAGAAGCCGCTGGCACTTCCCTTCTTGGGGGGTCCATTATAGCAGCTGCGTCTGCAGGAAAAAGGGGACCAAAAAGAAGGAAAAGGAAGAGTGAAAACAGGCACCCCGAAAGTTTATTTGGACTATTTTTTGCCTTGGTTGTTTCTCTGCAGCCCTGTGGGGACACCAAAGCCCCTCCCCCCATAAGATTTGGCCACTTCCAGCTGACCCTGGAGGGCATCTGCGCTCCACCCAGCCTGGCTTGTGGGAGGGGGGGAGCTGCCTTTAGAAAAGCCCCTCCTTTCCTTCATCGGGATAAATTCACGTTGGCTGTGAATTCCTCCCCATGAATTCTCGCAATGCTGGTGGCTTTATGGCCTCTTTCCCTCCTCCGTCTTTCTTTCTTTCTTTCTCTTTCTTTCTTTCTTTCTTTCTTTCTTTCTTTCTTTCTTTCTTTCTTTCTTTCTTTCTTTCTTTCTTTCCTTCCTTCCTTCCTTCCTTCCTTCCTTCCTTCCTTCCTTCCTTCCTTCCTTTCTCTCCTTTCTTCCTTCCGTCCGTTTCAAAAGAAGGGAGGCTGGCGGCTGATGTGACACAAGAGGGCAGCAGCAAAATCTGTCTGAGTCAAGGGAGGCTTTCCCCGGGATATCTCCTGGTCCTCCCCTCCTCCCTTTGGGCCTCAGATAATTGGAGACCCTTGAGGGGGGGGTCTACCCCATGCCCCCCCCCCACTTCTCCTCCCTTGGGACACACAAAGGACTTCTCACACACCGCCTGGATTTGCAGCCTGTGAGACGCCAAGGTGCAAGATAGAAAGAGAAACCAGAGCAGGGAAAAGTTTCTTCTTTTCCTCTTTTCTGGGGCAGAAAAATAAAAATAGACACCCAGGCCAGGAAAGGCGATGTTATCTGACGTCTGAAAGGCCTGGAACAGACAAGAATATCCTGCCAGACCTGGAAGTTTCCTCTGAGAATCGTCTGCTCTCCCCTCCAAACACACAAGGGCCGCCTCTTTTCAAGCGCAGGCTTCAAAATCAGAGCTTTTTTTGGGGGGGGGGGGGGGGCAAAGGCCCTTGGAGACAAAGCTGGGAGGGGACTCCAGGGGGGAGGGTTGGGGGCCCCCCCCCCCCCAATATCTCTCTTCCCCGGCCGCTCGAGAAGAGCAAGACACTTCTGTCTCCCTGGGGTATGAACTGGTTTCCTGCAGGAGAGATTGGGAACCCGGTCAAAGGGACGTGGCGGCATTTGGGGCGAGAGGGGCAGGTTCTCCAACAGGCCCCCAAAGTGCCTCTTACTGGTTCTAATCCTCCGAGAGGCACAATTAGAAACCTGAGGGTCACGTGGATTTACGGCGCACAACCGTCCATGAGAGCGAAGCACGAGGCAGGGAGGCTATTTTGGAAGGAGCGCTCCTCGGCTTC